TGATTCACCACCAAGGCGGAGTCAGAGTAGACCTGGACCCTTCGTGCTCCCAACTCGCGCGCTGTGCGTAACCCGGCGATTACCGCTTCATATTCCGCCGCATTGTTCGTCTTCAGTGACGAAAATCGGAGGGCCACCTCATGAGTTGTTCCCATGGGGTTGATAACAACTATGCCCGCGCCGGCGCCTACTCGGCTTGCCGCCCCATCAACGTACACCCGCCAATCCTCTTCCATGCCCTTTCCTTCGCTCACCACGCCCTCTGCGGCAAAGTCCGCCAGTACCTGCGCCTTGATTGCGGGTCGCGGCGCGTACTTAACATCATACTCACTTAACTGCACGGCCCACTTCACCATGCGCCCCGCCACGTCCATCGAGCCTAGCGTGCTCCTTAGCGGTAGGTTGGTAAGGACGATCACCGTGTGCGCCTAAAAGTAGGGACGCAGCTTTTCTGCCGCTACCACCACTACTAGGGCTGCCTTCTCGATGGGCGCGTACCGCGTCTCGGGTCCCGTCATTACCTTGCTCACGTAATACACTGGGCGTTCCTCCTTGTCCGGGCCCGCTCTGGAGACGAGGACGGCGCTCACTGCGGCTCGGGAAACCGCTATGTAAAGGTATAACGTCTCGCCCTTTCGCGGCGCCGTCATGACCGCAGGCGCCACCAACAGGTCCTTCAACTGTTCAAACGCTCTATCGCACTCTCTGGTCCATTTGAAGCGCGTGGCCTTCTTCAGAACGCCGAAAAAGGGGGCGCCCTTGTCGGCCGATCTAGGAATGAAACGCCCCAACGCTGCCAGGCGCCCATTCAAGACCTGCACTTCATTGGGCGTCCGCGGTGGGCTGAGGCGCCTGATCGCCTCCACCTGCCTTGGATTGGCTTCGATCCCCCTCTTTGTGATCATGAAGCCTAGGAACTTCCCGGCTTCCGCCCCAAACACACATTTCAACGGATTGAGGCGCAATGTGTGGGCGCGCATCGTTTCGAAAGTCTCGCGTAGATCACTCAGGTGATCCTCCTTCCTCTTGCTCTTCACCACCAGGTCGTCCACGTATGCCTCCACGTTTCGGCCAATTTGTCGTTGGAACACCGTGTTTACCATGCGCTGGTAAGTGGCGTCGGCGTTCTTCAACCCGAATGACATGACTTTGTAACGGAAGTTGCCGAAGGGAGTTGCGAACGCCGTTTTGTCTCTATCCTCCTCGCACATGAGGATCTGATGATACCCCGAGAACATGTCTAGGAAGCTCAGCGCCTCGTGATATGCGGTCGCATCTACCAACTGGTCTATGCGTGGCATGGGGTAGGCGTCCGTAGGGCATACCCGGTTCAGATTCGTGTAATCCATGCACATCCTCCAGTCTCCCGTCGCCTTTGGGACGAGCACTACGTTCAATAGCCATGTTATGTATCGCGCTTCTTCCACAAACCCTGCCTCGAGCAACTTTCCCACTTCTTTGCGCAGGGCTTCCTCCTTTTCCTCCGAGAGGGGTCTCCTTTTTTGCTGCACGGGGCGCGCGCCCTTCTCAACCGACAACCGGTGCAATGCGATCTCGGGCTTCACGCCTGGCATCTCCTTGGCGCTCCATGTGAACAAGTCGGCGAACTCCCTCAGGAGTTCCACCAGCGCCTCGGCCGCCTCCCCGCTCGTGTGTACCGAAATGCGCACGCACCGTTCAGGGCGCTCCGCGTCCAAAGGAACTTGGACCTCGGCGTCAGCTGCTTCCGCCCTAGGCGTGTCTTCCGGGCGCACGTCGATGTTATACATGCGCGCACTTTTTGCGAGCCGCGCTTCGGGTGAGTTTTCCCCTCGCGACATTCCCACTCCCTTCGGGGTAATGAATTTCAACACTTGATGGCACGAGGACGCGACCCCATTGAAGAGCGCCAACATCGGACGCCCCAGGATTGCATTGTAGGGGGAGGGGCAGTCCACGATTCCGAACTCCACCGTGTGCGTCACATGGTGCGCCTCGTCTCCCAATGTCACCGGTAACCGCACACGCCCCACCACTCTTGCCGGCACCCCCGAGAACCCTATCAGGACTGACTCCGCCGGCCTGACCAGGCTCGGGGATAGTTGCATCTTCTCGAACGTGGATCTGAACAGCACATCCATCGAGCTTCCCGTATCCACCAACATCCTCTTTACTTCACATCCAGCCACCACCCCTCTGATTTCAAGCGCTTCCACGGAGGGCACCCGACACGCCTCTTCAGGGGTCTCGTTAAAGTGAATGTGCACCGCCGCGCGGGCGCTTGCCGTGGCCGATTTCAGGCGCCTGCCTTTGTCAAGCTTCTGCCTTAGGTCCAGCGTGCCCGAGATGGCCTCAATGGTAAGCCTCACGCGCTCCGGGTGCGCCTCGGGCTCTATGTCGAACGGGGGCGGGGGCAGCACTTCTTTTTCCATGGGGGCCTTCCCTTCTTCATTTGGGGCATTTTTTTGCTCCACCCCCTCCTTCTCCTCCTGCACCACGAAGGCCCTCTGCATCCTATCTTCCCCCTTTCTTACGAATTCGTTCAACATTCCTCGATCTACCAGCCCTTGGATCTCCGACTTGAGCTGGTAGCAGTCAGCCGTGTGGTGGCCCCTCTCTCGGTGGAACTCACAATACCTGTCGAGGTTCTGCTCGTTCGGGCGCCCCTTCATTGGCCCCGGCCAGCGGATATGGTACCCCTTGTCCTTCACAAATTGCAGCACATTTTTCAACGAGTCATTAAGCTCGGTGAAGTTCCCTCCTCCCCTTGGTGGAAATCGCGGTGGCTCTGGGCGTCGCATGTTGGCCGAGAAAGGTGCGCTCTGGTGGTGTGTGGCGACGGGCGGTGGGCGTGGCGCCCTGGCCACCTCCGCCTCTTCTGAGCGCACGTCCCTCCGCTCCAACCTTCTCGCTGCCAGGGTCTCCTCCAACATGATCACCTTTTGCACCCTCCGATCCAAATCTTCGATGGATATCACATCTCTCTTAGACAGCGCTCAGCACAGCTCTTCACTTGTTGTACACTTGTCCAGGCAGCATCCTAGGACCGGGGGCTTTATATCCTTGACCGCCATGGCCACTGACATCCAGCGCTCATAGAAGTCCCTGAGCGCCTCGCCCTTCCGCTGCTTGACCTTGAACAAGGCGCTAATGGTGAGGCTCCGGCGCTTCCGGCTGGCGAACTTTGAAAGAAAAAGGGCCGCGAACTGCTCAAAGCTATCAATCCGTCCCTCCTCTATTTGATGATACCAATCCAACACTACGCCCGTAAATGTGGAAGGAAACGCGCGGCACAAGGTGGCATCAGAGCTGTTGTACAATTGCATCTTCGTGAAGTAGTTGTTCAAGTGATCCTCTGGGTCGGCCGCCCCGTCGTAGGTAGGAAGCGCCGGGATGACGGAGTTCGCTTGTTCGGCCAATATGCTTCGCGCGAGGGGCTGTCGCACCCCCCACGCTCTCCCCTGCCGACGGTGCGCCCATCCATTGTGCTCGTCGAAATCCGAGGCCATATGCTTCGTCAGGTGCCCTAAATCTTCCATGCGCCTCATCGCGCTAGACGCCCCTTCCTCTTCTTCCTCTCTGTCCCTTCTCTTCCCTAGAGGGGGGGCCGCCGCCTCGGCTCCCTTTTTCAACACTTCCACCTCTTTCCTGAGTGCCTCAAGCGCCTGTTCCTGTTGCTCGACTATGTGGAGTAGATGTTCCTTTGTGAGGGTGATGCCCTCGGATTGGGCCGTGTCCTGCGCCCCGTCCTCAACCGCCGCATGCGCTTCTCCCGACAGCCCAGGCGCCTCACGGGACGCCTCGGCCGCCGCCGGTCCTCCTTCTCCTTCACCTGCCCCAAGCGCCTCCATGACCCCCTACTCTCTCTTTGTTGCTATGCGTCCTCGGTCCCCCTTCCTGGCGCGCCAATTGTTCGTGCCCGATAACTAGGCGCCCCGAACCTCCGTGTACGACCGTCCTGGCACGCCCACACCTGCACGCAGCACGGCTAAACTGAGTCCTAAGGAGGACTCGTTAGCACTCCAACGCCCAAGTCAGATGCCCTTTCTAGAGAGAGAAGTGAATAGTAATTTTAGAGAGAAGTTCCAACCTGAATAAATGAGGTTCACCAACTCTCCTATTTATACCTCGGGTCCTGCCGACCGACATTCCCGTCTCCCGCCTGTCGCCAGACCCGCATTAAATGCGCCGTACAACCAGGCCCCATGCGCCTCGACCACCTGACACCGCCCTCAGTCAGTCGAGGCGCATGACGTCAGGTGGTCCCTCCTCCGTACCCTCCTTCCCGTTGTAACCCTTTGTCGCATGCGCCCAGTGTCAGGGCCCGGTCCCCACCTGGCCTGGTGCTCCTCTCTGATGAATGGGCTGACTCCCCCAATGCCCCCTTGGGCCTATTGGGCCATACTCCACTACTTGCCCTAGCCTATCCAATCTCACTCTCTTGGGCCCTGCAAGCCTTACCCACTTGGGCCGCGGCCATGCCCCCAACAGAGCCCTTCTTGAAGAGGTCGTGCATTATTTCGCGATGTGTAGGTCGACATAGTAATAGGCCCACTTGGTGGCTAGAAAGGCCATTCATTTGTACCTGACTACGAGTCGTTTCTTTAATTTTATGGTCTGATAAAATATCAACTAGTAATTATTTATTTTTCTGATCAATATATATAATTATATTTTGTAAAAAATAAAAAACATAGAGGGTTAATTATAGAAATAAAAACGGCAGCCACATGTGGTGTGACGACCCGACAATTAGGGGCAAGCAACTAAATGCATGCAAGATATTCTCTGAGAAAACAAAATTTATTCCCATAATTCCCCACGATCGACCTCCTTATCCCGTCCTCCCATATATTGATATATATGAATGTTGGCAAAGCAATAAGGCAATTGTTAAAGAGTAGAAGAGAGAGCAAACCAACAAGCCATTGTTGGATCAGGAGCGATCGAGCTAGCGCAACATGGTTTGTGGGGAGGTGGGTCGTATCCCTTTGGCTGTTTTGTTGGCTCTCTTGCTACTAATGGCCGCCAGTGGTGCGGAAGCGGCGGCGGCCAATTCTATCAAGCCCACGAAGCTGCAATTTCTTTATCAGAACTGCAGCAGCAATGTGTACCAAGGGAGGTGGGTTCCGGACAGCACTAATTACCCTCTCTACGACTCCTCGGCCTGCCCTTTCATCCGGAGAGAGTTCGATTGCCTCAAGTACGGGCGGCTGGACCATCAGTACTTGCACTATCGATGGCAGCCTTCCGACCCCGGCTGTACTTTGCCCAGGTAAAACAACAATTCATCATCCGCACAGCAATTTGTGTTTTTTTTGTGCTTTTGTGATTAAGAAAGCAACAAACAGATAGACATTCATGCGGTTGGTAAATAACGTACAACTCCAAACCTGTTTTCTACAAAACAAACCCGTCATTCCGGGTTTTATTCTTTTCGTGAAAAAAAAATAATAATTAAAAAGTCAATTTCATGGGTAGAGTAAATAGATCTGTCTAACCGGTAACGCAATAGCAGCTGGTGATGATGATGATTTCGCCTCTCTCATTATTATGCTTTTCTGTCATTGAATAATTAATAAGGGAATGCGTGTATGTGTCTATAATGGCCGCATCTATATATTGCCTGCGCTGCGCTTCCACGTCTCTTAGAGTCGTTTACTTGTTGGATTTGAAAAATGAGGGTTTTGGCCAACAAAAATCTAGGGATTTATGTTGGATTTATTGGATTATGAATTTGAAGGGTCTAATGTTTGCATGATAGATTTGATGATGGATTTGTTAAATAAATAACTAACCATCAAGGATTTGCAAATCCCAAATCAATATGTGGGATTTACAAGTCCGTGGGGTCCACGGATTTGGTTCCAAAATAAAGACCAAATCCGTGGACCCCACGGATTTAGCACCCTTCAACAAATAATGGACTTATGTTAAATCCATCAAGTTGTATCACCGTGAAAACCATCTATAGATGATCTTCAGCTCGGTATGGTACACAAATATCATGAAAAAATGATTTTATATAGTTAGTATGGCGGCGACATAATATCAGTTGATTGAATAAATTTGTATAGCAATAACTATCATATTTGTGACAAATATAGCTATAATTATCGAAAAACACAAAATAGTCTAAAAATCAGATGGTAGTGTGACAAATCTAGTCATTCCCATTAGAATTTTTTTTTTTTTTCGTTGAATCAGTTGCTCTTTATTTCCAGAAAAGGTAACCGATACAACGAGGCGAAACTCCAACAATGAGTTCCGGTATGCTAGCTATATACTACCTGCTGCATTACAAATGTCAACTTACTCTTAGCAACCTATATGCACTAAAAAGTTCTAGCGCAGTAAAACTCAAAAACTGAAAACCTATAAGTATCGAAGGTGTGACAAAGTATCTCGCAACCCTCTATTACCATAAGAAATGAAACTTAGATCAGCCCTTATAAGATCAGCCACATTTGCAGGACTTCGGCACGTTTGACCATGAACCACGCGGCACCTCTCTTTCCAGATGAAAGAGACTACAAGGCACCAAATCAAAGCATGGCATTGACCGTATCTAGTGTCTTTACGGGTTGCCTCAGCGACAGCAGCAAGCATCATGTCCCAACCCTGAAAATTCAACGAGGGAATCTGCAGCAAAGAGTAAAGCTGCCTGGAATAACTGCAAAAGAGGAATAAATGATCACGAGATTCTGTTGCATTGTCACATAAAGGGCATCCTGCATCTCTAATTTTCCCCCACTTCAACAGCTTATCTCTTGTAGTAATAGCATTTCTCGTTACCAACCAAGAAAGCACACTATATCTTGGCGGGCAATGCTTATTCCAGAGAAGGCTATGCCATGGAACAGCAGGTGCTCTTCTTCGTAATGTCTCCCAAACTTTTCTGACTGAATAAACTGTCATTTCTTGCAAATCCCAGTATATTGTCCCATTCTGCTGCTGTACCCAGGGATGGATGACAGCCCGCAACTTCAGTAGTCTTCGCCACGTCCACGAACTGCTATACTGAACCTTTAGTGACCAGAGGTCCCCCTGTCGACACTTATATGCATACATCCACGCTACCCACAAAGCTCCAGCCTGCATGAGAAAAAGCCAGAGCATACGTACAGAACAGGCTTGATCCATGTCAATAAGTCCTTAACTCCAAGACCCCCTTCCTTTCTAGGCAGAGCCACATTGTCCCATTTTACCTTTGCACGCCCTTCTTCATTTCCATACCATAGGAAGTTAGAGCAAACCTGCTGAATCTTATTCAAAGCCTTCTTAGGTAGCACGAATAGTTGCATCCAATATTGCACCACACCAATCAATACTGAATTAATCGATTGCAGTCTGCCAGCATATGTTAATCGTTTGGCCCTCCACGACTTGACTCGCTTTGTAATCTTATCTACAAATATGTTAATCTCCGTTGAGGAAAACTTACCAGACATAAGAGGAAGTCCAAGATAACGGACAGGCAGCTCCCCTTCCTTAAATCCAGAAAGATGCAGAGCATTACTTTTATAATGAACAGCCTGCCCTCCAAAATACACTTCACACTTAGATGGATTACATCTAAGTCCAGACAGCATGTAGAACTTATGTAAGACCTCTTTAACTTGCAGAATAGCTTGAGCAGACCCTATTGTAAAAACCAAAATATCATCTGCAAAACACAAATGATTTAAGGAAATTCTCTGACACCAAATCAACGCACGCTACATCGGCAAATCAATATCAAATAAATTACATTAAAATATTTACTTTAAATATTTAGTCATAAAATACAAATAAATAAATAAATAACCAGCGTCCCTTTCCCTTCCTCCCACGACCCACCGCGAATCTTAGCTGCAGAAATCTCCACTGGGAAAATTTTACCACAAGGGCATCGAAGTGGGTTTGGTTACGGCGGAGCTCGACCCTGATATCACTTTCAGCCTTCTCTCACGGTGGTTGATTCCCAACTGGAGGCATGCAAACATTCAACGACTGATGAAATCGTGATTCCAGATTTGGACAGGAAGAAGGGAATTCTGGATTGGGATAGATGCCATCACCGGCCGAGGATTTGTTTTGTTATTTCGAATTGATGCATGTTGACAGGAGGCGCGATTTTGGAACTGATGTTGATCGGAGGCAAAGGTGGGAGCTGGCGGGTGCGAAGGAAATCTGGAGATGCGGCCACGGTGATATCCAGGCTGCACTGTCTCGGTGGCAACGATCAGCGCACCCTCCGATCTATAGTTGCTTCTTCTTCCTTGGTGGTGACGAAGCGGATCTGATTGGCGGTGACAGAGCAGTGCAAGACGAAGATTTATAATCTCAACGTTGAGCCCCTTTGCAAAATCGCCAATCGCATAACCCAAATTACGGAACTTACTACTCCTCGTGGACAGGTGTGGTTGCGGTTGTATTCTCCATTTCCTTCTTTCCCACGTCGTCGTCACTGCCACCGGGTTGTTTTAGGTTGCGCTTGAAGGAAGGATTCGGGGGCTCTAGATGAGCATTGGTGGAGATGAGCGGTTGTGGGGAGAAAGGGGAAAAAGGAGAGAAGGGAGAGAGTGAAAAGAAAAAAAGTTTAATTTATTTATTTTTACCTTTTTAATTAATTCCAACTCATATTGTTATTGATAAATCGTCGCCAACTCAGTATTTTCCCTCAACCCAATTAGACCGTGAATTGACACCATTAAAAGAATAGACGGAAGTGGCTATTTTGTGTTTTCCGATAGTTGTGGCTATATTTGTCACAAACGTGAAAGTTATGGTTATACAAGTATATTTTTTCAATATATATATAGCGAGTTCTATAGTACCCAGGGTAAAATCCAGAGTACCGCATACCTTGAGTATGAAAACGCCATCCAGACCTTGAATTGACTGATGTTTCGGACATGATACTATACTATATATAACCCTTAAAGATAAAAATCTAGATCTTAATTCTCTAAATCTTATACATCAACATCAATTTAATTAGAAACAATAATCGACGATTATGATTCGTCCAAATATAGGCAAAAAATGAATGCACCATTTTAGGGTTTTATAGTTTATAATTTAGATAATTAGGACGTAGGGTTCACTCATTAATTAAGGTTTAGGGTATAGTATCGGGCCCAAGAATCCTGCTAATTAGATATCTAGATAGCGTTTTCATACTAAAGATATGCGGTACCCCGGATTTCACCTAAGTTACCGTAGAATCCACTATATATATTCAATTGCATCAGCATATGATTGGTTAGACTATGGATGTACCACTCCAGTACAAATTTGCTAAATTATCTTGGACGAAATTACAATATATTTATTGCAAATTATTCTTTTTATTGTTCGGTTTGTATGTCAACGAACGAGTAGTTATGATGAAATTTTAAAATAATGTGGCTTGTGTAGATTCAATGGGGTGGAGTTCTTGAGGAGGATGAAAGGGAAGAAGATAATGTTCGTAGGGGACTCGTTGAGTATGAATCAGTACGAGTCCCTATTGTGCATGCTTCATGCAGCTGCTCCCAATTCCAACATCACCCGTCTTGCCCAACCTTTTCCAACCGTCATGTTCCAGGTCAAACAATATAATTTATTTCCCCTCCTCTCTCTCAAACCAAACTTACATCTCATCAATCCTTGCTAGCTATTATGTATTCTTACAATATTCAAACTGAAATACAAATACAATATCTTCCTAACCTATGTCAATGATTAACAATTTAAAATTTCTACATCATAATAGCAATTTTTAAACATTTATATTTCAAATTCAGTCTTAATTGTTTCAAAATAGGATGATTTTTTTGTTACATTTTGATTTATATTGGAGTATTCTTAATCATCTACAAAAGGTATGACTCATGTTACCACGATTTCAATTTTAAACACCATCTAGACATTTTCAATTTTAAACACCATCTAGACATCTTTACCACGATTTCAATTGTAACCACCATCTAGATAATCCTCCTCCTCGAATATAATATAGCAGATTTTTATTAACTTTTTTTCATTTTAAATTTGATGGCTTCTCTTAATTTTAGGTATTAATATAATACTAAATATATATTTTTTTATTTTCACTTATATTACCAAGCAGGCAAAACAAAACCCACGCCAGAAAGGGTTAGTCATTCATTTTGCCATAGGAGGCGGAGTGCGTTTTCTCTAATTATTTAGTTTTTATTAAATTAATATTTAATGTAGCAGATTTTATAGTTAAAAAATTTCTTTCATTTTTTATTGCTTTCTATTTGGTAAGATTTAGTGTTTATAATTTTCATTGATCTTCAAGAATGCTAAATTGGTTCATAAAGATGACTATTGGTTTTAACTATTATGCTATTTATAGAGTTGGGATATGTGGTACAGTAATTTTAACATTGAGAGATAATGACTTGTAATTGGTGTATTTTTATGATTGATAAAATTGAAATTTGGATTTTTTATTTCGCTGACTAAGGGTTAATTCTAGAAAATGAAAGTGTAGGTGTTAAGGTTTTGTTCACTTTTTTGTGTTTCGGAATTAGGATAAACTTAAAATAACATGACATAAACATTGCCAAATGATGAAAGTTTTATAAAAATTAGGTTATATAGGTACATAGCCTATATTCATGAAGACGTGCATAACTGACTTATAATTCTTGGATTTAGGAGATCGAATGACATAAGTTATGAAAAGACATGGTTTTTGAAAAAAGAAAACTCGTACTAGGTTATATAGGTGCATAGCCTATAATCATGAAGACGTACATAACTAACTTATAATTCTTGGATTTAGGAGATCGAATGACATAAGTTATGGAAAGATATGGTTTTTTCTTATTGCAATAGAGGGATGAGAATTTCATGACATAATTGAAAAACATACTCATAGTATTGTTAAGACTTAGAAGATTTAATAAATAAAATATTCAATTGAGAATAGTTAAGAAAATTTTTAGTGGAGATAGTTAATAATACATTTTAAATGGTTTGGTTTGCTCCATTTCAAATTTCTTGCAACGAGAATGAAAATAGGAAGAGTATTTCTGTTTTCATAATTATTTATTTATTTCGCATAAAATATAGCAACACCAAGATTTGAACAATGATCTCCTTATTCAAAGACAACAATCATAACCAATTACACAAAACAACTATGATGTATCTTTTTTTATACAAAACATACACATAATTAAAATCTGAAACATAGAGGAATTTCGCATAACGATTAGTTGGCACACTAAGTCTCCTTTAAGTATTTTTATGGTTCTCGATAGTTCAATTTTAATATTTTAATTGGATTTTAATAAGTAATTATTCCTTGTAACTTTTAAATGAATGATAATCTTAAAACCACAACAAAAAATCATCATCACACAATTTTTTGCTACTCATACTTGAGTTATGCTGACTTGAAACTAACAATAAATTCCTCTAAAGAATGAATTCTCGATCTATCCAAAAATTGTCCGATGCGGTGAAAATTAAGTTGTCCCTAAAAGTATAGAAATCCACCACTTTTTATCAAATATGACATTTGAATCGAGGTCTTGGAGACTTTATTGTTCCGTCTTTTGCATGTCTTAACGAGAAAGGACTTTATGATGCTTCAGACGGGATGCGATATTATTCGAGAGCCTGTTGTCTTCAACACGAGCTTTATGTCATTTGAATCGATCTAATTTTTTGGGTACTATAAAATTTTCTATATAAATTACGATTTTATAATAATTTTCAGTGATGAAAATTATGGCGATGCACAACTCCTCTCGCGAGAGTTAAATTTCAAACCTGACCACTAATCCCCACTAAATCATTAACAAATTTAAACAAGTTGAAAATAAAAGATAGAGAGGTGGTAAACCCATTTTCAATCTAACCAGTAATTGATATTCAAAATGCTTATGTTTTCTCTAATATTTATGGATCTTTTGGTACCAAATGAATTAAGAATTCATTTCATTTAAAATGCATTACTTTGTAGAATTAATTGTCAAATAAATTCTTGTGTTTGGTATGTCTTATTTGATTCTTTATAAATAAAATGAATTGTATTATCAAACCATGTTTGGCATACACTCATAATTGGATTAAACTAAAAGTTTCCAACTATACCATGATTAATTTCCCACAGAAATAATAATATTTGAAAATCCATCTTCTAAAACACGCAGACAAAGTTATTATCCAAAAATTTGGAATTAGTAGGAGAGTTGATTCCATTGCCAAAGAGCAGGTTGCCGTTTAGCCCACCTAATGGAATTTGGAGTCGCCCAGAATGCAGAGTTTATAAGAAACTATATATATCAGGTTAACATACCAGCGAAAAGAGTAGGGCTAGGCGTGCATAATCTGTGCATTGTCGCATGTAGAAGTAATTTAGTTAATAAATAAGGATAATTATGTCATTCCGGTGAAATGCTTTTGGAATTCATTTGGAAATTTCATCTCAATTCCGCGAAATTACTATAACTAGCTCCAATTATGTAGAATTCAAAATTTAGAATTGAAAATTAATTCTTTTAATACCAAACACAAAAATATTTTATTTCTTCTTAAAAAAAAGATTTCATTTCAAAATGGATTCCTAAAAAGTTATGGAATTCATTTATACCAAATTGTATGTTAAGGTCAATGCATAGTTCATCCAATGCGGACTTGTCAAAATAAGAAGTGAGACTGAGATTTCAATTCATAACTTCCTCTAAGACAAGATGTGATAGTATCCAAGAGCTTACTATCTTCAAATCGAGATTACTGAGCTTCATACCATTTGTATTAGTGTATTTTCTGTTTATTATAAATTTGGAGTGTCTAAAAGAAATTATGGTCTCATAATAATCAATAAGAAAAAGTGATCGAGATGCACCATCTTCTCTAACATGAGTCAAAGATTAAAACCGATCATCAATCTCCACTAAAACATTGAAAGAAATAAAGGCACGAGATGTTGTAAAACTCAATTTCGTTAATGAGGCTATGGTTTTGGTGCATTACCTTTTTTTTTTTTTTTTTGCTTTAGCCACTCTAATTTAAGCAAAAATCTCAAGCGTTGCAACTAAGGATTTTTTCGACCTCTCACAAATTTCAACTAACTATTTTTCCGGTAGTTCTAACTATATTTCTTGCTTCATATCAGATTAATTGAAAATTAGTAATGAAAAAAATTAAAAAAAATGCTATAACGTGTATTTATGAGAATTTATTAAAACATCAAAGACAATACCCATTTTGTAATAATATCTTTACTCTTCCATTTTTTTTAACTTCAAATCATTCGAGAAACGAACTTTGTACCAACTAAACATATATAGTTTTCGACTAAACATTTTACCTCATTGTTTTCAGTTTAAAAGTTCAGGTTCCAGTTTCAAGTTATGCAATTGCAAATATTTAATTTGTGCTTAGGGTTTAGTGTATTTGGTGATGGAGATAATAACGATTTGAGGAAGAAAAAAAGACACTATTGATGTTGGAAATATATATTTCAATGATATAGAGAAAGAGTGAATATATGATAATATTCACGACTTGGATAAGATAAAATATACTTAGCAGAGATTATATTTTATATGAGTTTATGACTTTTCAATAGTAAAATAATTTGGACTCTTTTCCTATACCAAATCAAATGTAATTCCATCAAATATTGTTATTATTGTTTAACATTAATTAAAAGTATTCGGACAACAGGCTGCATCCACCGACCCACATCCGATACATTTACGGAAAGAACATTTTGTAGTCTAGTAGAAATCCCCATCCCAGTCCCACGAACTTCCATTTCCCAATTATCATCTCCAATTTGGGCCGGAGGCCATTTCTTTATTCCTTCTCTGCATGGGCTCACCTGGCAATACAGTCTTTTTTTTCTTCTTTTTTATATATTAGGGTGATATAGGTTATTTTTGCGATGAGGTAGTACTTAAGAGATTTAAACGTTGGACATTCAGGTTCAAAGCTAGTGATTTTAATTACCACTAGATTAACCTATTGTTCGTCAAAAGTTTGGATCATTTAGAGATAATTATTTTTTACACATTTGCTTTGTAAGTATGTAATCTGATTTTTTGTTTTTGGGTTGATCAGGATTATGGAGTGTCAATAATGTTGTTCACAAGCCATTATTTGGTAGACATCCAGCAGGACAAGATAGGTCGTCGTGTCTTAAATCTTGGTTCAGTAAGCAGTGGCAATCTTTGGAAGCAAATGGATGTACTGATTTTCAACACATGGCTTTGGTGGTACAGGAAAGGTCCTAAGCAAGGGTATGTAATGTATGCCTTTGGATCATCGCCCAATAGTAATAAGAACAGGAAAAGATGCACTAATTATCACGTTGATTATGCAATTTCAGATGGAATTACATTCGAGATGGGAAGATCATATCTAAGGACATGAACAGAATGACGGCCTTCACAAAAGCCTTGCGAACATGGGCAAAATGGGTTGATTCAAGCGTAGATACAAGGAAAACAAGTGTATTCTTTCAAGGCGTTTCTCCTGCTCACTACAAGTAAGGAAACATGACATCCCAGCGCTGTTGGCTTCTCGATAGACAAGTTAGTTAGATTTTTGGATTCGAATTGTATAGAACTAACTTCTTTGTGTTTATTATTTTTGATGTACGTAGTGGGGCCGCTTGGGGGAGGCCAGGAGTGAGAGATTGTTCTAATGAGACAAAACCAATAGCAGGAGGATTAACCCAGTCCGTGGTCCCATTGGCGTTAAAAGTTCAACAAGACATCATAGGAAGCATAAGGAAACCGGTTCATTTCCTGAATATAACTGCAATGTCATACATGAGAAAAGATGGACACCCAGCGTCGCACAATGGCCTCGGGGGCATGGACTGCACGCACTGGTGCGTTGCTGGTGTCCCTGATACTTGGAATCATATCCTCTCAACGATCCTCATTCATTCAGGAAAAAGAGGGAAAGAAAGCAAGACACTACCACGGCAAACTCTTGCACATAAATAATCAGGGTTGGATCCATCCAATACAAAACCAAACAGGGTCTTGGTTGGATTGGGTGATTAGATTGTTGCTCTTTCCTTGAAACAACACTAGTTCATGATGAACTCGTTCCTTCTGAGCAAAAGTTTTAAAAAACGACTTAAAAACGAATAAGTTACCATATGGTATGTAGTTGGTAAAGGGTGGTATGAAAAAAAAATATCGTAATATATTGAAAATTGATCTCATTTTGTAGAGCACAATGAACTCGTTCCATCTGTGCAAAAAAAAATTGAAATCCGAGTTAGAACGAAGAAGATAAGAGTGAATTAGGAAAACTAAGGAAAATAAAATGCCTTTAATTGACAATCTTTAGATCTAGATTTTCTGGGCCCACTTAGATCTAAAGATCCATATTTAGTTACTCATAGGTCAGTAACCAATGTTTACTTACCCAATCCTAAGCTCCTTTGCTTGGGGTGGTTGAACCCACCCACGTATCTATATAAATCCACTCCAATTGACCTGCCTATTATGTTGTGAGCGGTTTCTATGGATGGGTATGGATTCTAATATAGGTAATCCACTATTAATTAGGAGAGCATGGGTGGATTATGGTTTACTCACGACCCACTGATAACATCAAAATCAGTGTTATTTACCCTCCATTTTGGGGGTATGTTTTGTGTCAATTCATGTGTTTAAACACTAAACATTGTTAATATGTGCAAATTAGGTACATGGTCACGAGTGTAGAAAAGGGGCAAGGATCAAAGATCATGGCCTAGAAGCTAAAGATCACGACCGAGATTTCCAGTCATGAATACTCGCTAAAGATCGCGGCCCAGAAACCAAAGATCGTGACCGCGATCTTGAAGGCCCAGGGCGCGAACTTCGCGTGGAATGAGCGTTGGAGAAGCAGAGAGTTTTCCCAGTCGCATCACGGCCAACATTCACTTTTCCCGCGTGGATCGGAAGATCACGGTCACGACTCGAGGATTGCTACCGCGAAGTCATCCCTCGATCTCCCCCCTTTAGAACGTCATGACGACGTCGTCTTGAGATCGCGACCTATCCTCAGAAGATCCCACCTGCAATCTCCCAGCCTCAGGCTGCGAACTTCCCCGAGTCCAGAATGCCTATAAATAGAAGACCCATTTTCCCATTTTAAGTGAGCTGATTTTGGGTGAAATTTCTGGATCTAGAGAGAGAAGCTGAAGGGAGAAGAAGGAGGAGCTAAGAGCAAGGATGATCTTCCCCAACTTCAAGTCTTCTTCTATTTCTACCATGCATCTTCTTCCCTCCTTTATGGAGTAGTCATCTAAGGTACTAGGGGTTCTAAACCCAAACTCTAGTTTTAGGGTTTATTATGTATGTATGAATATTTTAGGGTTTGAATGAATGAATGTGTTTGTTTAGTAGATTCTTAATGTCACTCTTTCCAAAATGATGACGCTTGGGCAACTGTCCCCAATCTTCCCTCTTAGCGTGCTTTATGCTACCGCGCTAGGTACAGAGTTCTAGGGTTAGACGGGTATGCGCCATCTGGTGAGTTAAGGTTAGATGAGTGAATGGGGGACTATAGTGGTCGAGGCGACCAAACCCCGGTTGTAGGTAGCCTTCCTAGATGAAACCCGAGATGAAACCTCGGTGTGGAAGGTGGATAGTATCCATTGAAATTAGCCTTAAGCTTATTGCCCCAAATACGATAGCCTGGATCGAGGTGAATGAAACATGGGTTTAGGGGAGGCGTACTCGAAGGCGTGTGGATAAAGATGAAGGCCCACGAAAAAGAGCTCACTCACCACATTCGATAACGCTAATTAAGTATCTATACATGCATAGTATCCCTAAGCTAGGGGGAGGATTAGTTCCCCGAAGCATAGTTAGTAAATACTCCGTTTAATACACATATATGTACCCGTACGTACTTTATCCGTTTAAAACTTTCGTATCCGTATTATTGTCAAGCCGTTTTATTTTCTCCCGTTCATTTGATGGCTCCCGTACTAAACACGCATAAAACCCGTATAACACGTTTATTATCCGTATTTTATGAATTTAATTGTTAACATGCACAGATTCAAGTGATCAAGCTTTTTGGCGCAGTTGCCAGGGACCTTTGGCAACTAGTAGAAAACCATTAAGTTGTTAGTTAGTTTTTATCCTGCTTTAGTTGTTTGTTTTGTGTTATGTGTTTGTGTTGTTGGTTTATTTCGTTTTGTTTTGTTTTTATGCTTTCGTTTCGTAGTTTGCTTTCATAGTGGTATCCTTGTTTGTATAGTTATCCAACTTCGTACGTCACTGATTGTGGAAGTTTTTGTGTGTAAATAGACTTTTTCCATTGATCCATCCTAGCTAAGGCGTATTGCCGAGGAAACTATTGGTATGCTCCGCCGATAATCGCAATTTCACGGAAGGGATGATGAAAGTGCCATCGATCATATGGCCTGCTTCTTAAAGGCGCTCAAGGTGTTGAAGATTTCCGGATTCAATCAAGATCAATTAAACATCATCTTCTTCACTTACCCCCTGCTAGGAGACCCAACAGTTTTGTAGAAAGAGTTCATATCCACTGCTCCCTCCTGGGGCCAAGACATGGAAGCATTTGTGTTTCAGTATCTTGTTGGAACAATGGCCGTCATGCGAAGGAAAGAGATTGACACTTTTCAACAAGAGAGCCAAGAAACTTTTGAACAAGTTTCGGAAAGATTTGAGGAGTTGGTGCAAAGAAGCCCAAGACATGCATATTCTAACGAGAAACTCAACATAATCTTCTACAAGGGGCTTTCGACACCTTCAAGGGGCTGATCGAGAGAAGATATCCCACCGGTTTTCAATAAAATGATCAGGAGAAAGTGGAAGAGCTATGCATTTACATCAAACAGGAGGAAGAACTTCATATTCAAGTACTAGCTATTCAAGGTCAGATAAACAAGATTAGCAAGGAACTTGAGAGACTAAATGAAGCAACCAATGCGGATCCACCTCGATAGAGCAAGACTTTGCTATAAATACAAGGTTGCCTCCTCAATCTAGTGTCCCTTCCTCTCTTTCGGAGCAAGATCGAGATCACACGGCAATTGAACAGTGCGCATCCTGTGTAGAGTTGAGACGATGGTTCGAGCGATTGGAGGAGAGAGTCTCTTATTGGGTTTCGATCTATCATCAATGAATGAATGAATTAGGAGACAATATAGTAATATACCTATCAAATGACCGCCGTGGGACTTCAACCTTATTCACCTCCAATGAAGGGACGGTATCCAAAAACAGTCAAGCTTCTCCAACCATTTTAGATTCGAGGATTGATCCCATACCTCCCTCTCGTAAGAGCAAGGTAACACTCCTAGGGGAAGAGGCGACGACTTGTCAAATCCTTAAACAAAGATTCAAGGAGATTACCCATCCTTCAATTCTCAACTATGATACCATTACGAAGGACCTTGCCGAATCGACAACGAGAAGGGGTACTGATCGACTTAACGGTTTACATTTAGGCCTGCACTACAAGGGTGAGTTGGACGATGCTACCCAAGGTGAGGGGATCCTTTCACTTGAGGACACCCATTTGATCAGAAAGTACAGCGAAAAGACTTCAAAGACGCACTTGTTGGGAGGTACCAAACACTTTGGTTTTTTTTTCTTTTACCTTACCTTTTCAAATAAACTTCCTAGTATAATAAATTTGATTAAGACTTGGTGTCATACTCTAGCCCCTAGAATTGTCTTGGCTTCTCAAGTTGGTGGGGGTGTTATGTGAATGTTAAACATCGCGTCCTTTAAGGGAAAGATCGCGCCTGCGATCATGCGGTGCTAGCCCGCGATCTTGCCTTTCCTCATGGCTTAAACAACAAGTGTGTGGGCTATGCGATTTATTCTCTCTTTTCCCCCAACATCCACCACTCTTGAGTCATTCTCCACCACCACTTTGAAAAGGTTTGAATGGGAGGTTAGTGTTGATTTGGGTTGTGCTAATTCAAGAAAGAGTCTTGCCATTTCCCTATTTTTTAAGGTAAGAGGTTTCTTCTCATTCTTAAGGATGGTTTAGGAAGATCCCCCTTTTTTCACCTTGACTTGTGCTTAACATGGCTTGTGGTAAAGTGCTTATTACCACTTTTCTATTGGCATTTCCGGCCTAACATTGACTTGTTTGATCTTTTGAGGTTCATATCTTCCATGGTAGTACTTTATTTATTTGAACACCTTACATTCAAGTTGTCTTATTTGTGTGCCCACAAGGTGTTCGATCAAATGTCTTAGAGAAGAAAGTGGGAGTAGAAGGGAGCCTTTTTCATCTTTGTTTTGCTCTTTAAGTTGCCTCCTCTCTACTCTTTCTACTATCTCGTGTATGCATGACACTTCCTCATTTTCGCTCACTTTCCATTTTTGTGCTAATGATGTGTACTAAGCTTTGTTAAGGATGGGAAAATCAAAAAAGTGTCAAAGTCATCAACTTCAATCAAGGGTGGGAAAAAGGCACCTCACCCATATCTTGAGTTCGGGGACAAGGACAAGACCGAGTTTGGTGAACATTGTAGCATCTCTTGGGAAGCTTTGTAAGAGTTTGGAGACGCCGCACCTATTCAAGATCACATCCAAGACCCGACGTGGCTCAACCTTTAAACGATTAATGAGAAGATCTGTGTCGAACCAACCCTCGAATTCTTGACTACATTGACTTGTTTGGTGCTCATCATCAATAGGGATTTTCCAATAACTCCCTCTTTCAACCTTGGAGGTATACCGAAGGTCATGAGCTTCAATGAATTCACTGAGGCTATGGGCATTTACCCTCCCGGATTCATCTTCACTCAAGAAGGCCTTGCACTTCCCGGAGAAGAGTTGGTCTCTTGTGACCACCTGGAGGACTTCTTCACTAGTCAACTTAAAAGGTCGGAGCACCAAGAATTTTTCATCCCCAAATCCACCAAGAGTACCTCCTTGATGTGCGAATGATGAATTATCCACAACATCATCTCTTACTTTGTTGCTCCTATGGAAAAATCCGCTAGCAACCTCACTAAGAGACGCATTAACCTTCTGAGGTCGATGTTCGTT